GGGGCTGTCGCTAGCCTTTCCGGAACTGGCGGGCACCTTCGAGATTCCCTGGGCTGATGGTGTCTGGGGTAGAGCTCTGACCCTACTGCCCGCCCAGACCCACTTCCCAGCTGCAGCTCTGAGCCCAGCCCTGCCCTTGGGGAGCCCAGCCCTGCCCTTAGGGGAGCCCAGCCCTGCCCTTAGGGGAGCCCAGCCCTGCCCTTGGGGAGCCCAGCCCTGCCCTTGGGGAGCCCAGCCCTGCCCTTGGGGAGCCCAGCCCTGCCCTTGGGGAGCCCAGCCCTGCCCTTAGGGGAGCCCAGCCCTGCCCTTGGGGAGCCCAGCCCTGCCCTTAGGGGAGCCCAGCCCTGCCCTTGGGGAGCCCAGCCCTGCCCTTGGGGAGCCCAGCCCTGCCCTTGGGGAGCCTAGCCCTCCCCTTAGGGGAGCCCAGCCCTGCCCTTAGGGGAACCCAGCCCTGCCCTTGGGGAGCCCAGCCCTGCCCTGGGGGAGCCCAGCCCTTCCCTTAGGGGAGTCCAGCCCTGCCCTTGGGGAGCCCAGCCCTGCCCTTGGGGGAGCCCAGCCCTGCCCCTGAGGAGCCCAGCCCTGCCCTTAGGGGAGCCCAGCCCTGCCCTTAGGGGAGCCCAGCCCTGCCCTTAGGGGAGCCCAGCCCTGCCCTTGGGGAGCCCAGCCCTTGTGTCATGACCTGGGGTCGGTCTGGGTTACATGTAAATACACCCATGTAGGTATTTTGTATTGGCTTCCTTGGTCACTCCCTTATTTCCAGGAACTCAGTAGTAAGGATTATGTTGTATGCCAGCACCTCGCTGTTCCGTAGTGGAAGGGCAGCCCTGCCTCCCACAGAATTCTCGTCTGCCATTGGCTGGAAGCACAAGGTACAGCCATCAGTCACCCTTCTCTGTAGGGTAGCTACCTATCCTAGCTTGGGAGGATGATGAAATAAATGTATCTCATCTCTTCCCTTCCATTCCTACTGCACAGTTTCCCTTTTTCATTAGTGCTTCTTTAAATGTTCTCATACATTGGTTATTTTATTTATCTGTTATATAGGAGTAGCTCAAAAGGATCATGGAAAATAGAATTAAAAATAAGATTATATTGGTGACACAAATGTGAAGTCCATGCATAGTATTTTTCATACATTTGTCGTAGTATTTTTCATTCCATGAACCTTTGAAGACCCCTTTTTGATTGCTCGTCTCCCAGCTGGAAAAGATAAACAAACCAATGTTAATACAGACCAGGCTCTCCCTGCTCCCACCTCTCCCACCCTCCTTCCGGCCTGTTTCTGCCCAGTCGCCCCGTGTCTGGGTCTCTGGTCTCAGTCCCTCATTGAACATCTCCAGTCATACCCTTATCAGTGCTTGCTGCTTGCCCTTTTGCTGTGAGCTCTGCAGTCACTTCGTAGTGGCTGAAGGTCACCCTCTGGTACTTCTCCCAAAAAAGGGTTCACCTATTTGTATATTCAAAAAGCTTTGTCTGTGACTTGAGCAACAGTTTGGTAGATACAGGTTGAGTAGCTCTATCCAAAAGTCTATCCAAAAGTTTTTCAGATGTTGGCTATTTGCACATGCATAGTGAAATAGGCGTGCATGAGTGGGGTAGGGGGCAGATTAGCCTAGCGGTTAAGACCCCCACCTCGGAGTGCCTGGGTTTGATTCCCAACTCTGGTTCCTGACTCCTGCTTCCCATTGATTCAGACCCTGGGAGGCAGCAGTTGGATCCCAGGCACCCACAGGAGAAACCTGGACTGTGTTCCCAGCTCCAGCTTTGGCCGTGGCCCAGCCCTGGCCATGGACAGCATTTGCAGAAGGAACCTGCAGACAGGAGCTCTTTCTGTGTGTATTTCCAAATAATTAACTTTTTAAAAATTGGAGGTGTGGGTGGAACCTGAGTCTAAACATGTGTTTGACATACATTTTACATGCGTGGCTTGGTGGCAGTTTTATGCAACATTGTTAGTGCACCTGGATCTTGATGGCAACCTGTCACACAAGGTCAGGGGCGGGATCTTCCGCTTGTGACGCTGTGTCAGCACTCAGAAGGTTTCGGGTGTTGGAGTTTAGGGGTGTGTCGTCCACCCCATGTTCTCCATTGGTAACACAGCCGGTGGCATGCCTCGGGCACCACAGCAATACTGGCGGCTGAGCTGGGGCCCCAGGCTGCTGTCCTGAAGTCTCCTCTGGTGCTCAGTGCCTTCTTCCCTTTTTCCTAACTGAGCGCAAAGGTAACCCTGTCCTGACTCCCAGCGTTACCGTCCTGCCTTGTTTTCACACGTTCTGTGAATGAAATCCTGTCATTTTCCAAACACACCACAGTGTATGAGTCGTTTCCAACTTGGGACCAACGCAGAGTCCCAGTGAACATTCTAGACGATGTCTCTGGTGATCACAAGCACACCTTTGTTTTTGGTGCATGCGTGCGTGGGAGTGGAACTGCGGGGTCCTGGAGTGGGCTGTGCAGGTTCTGAATCCATGCATTCAACCAGTATTTTTCAGGTCAAAGATAGTCACACGCACAAAAAGCTGTACCTGAACACATACAGACATTCTTACTCATCGTGACTCCCTAAGTAACACATACAGCAGCCATTCCTGTGTCACAGGTCACCCGGGGTGGTGGGCCAAGCCGTGACCTGCACTGGAGCACGAGGGAGTCACCATCTGCTGCCCCCTTGCACACGTGCGGTGTGCCTGCGGTGTTCACCCTGGCCCTGCTGGGGCCCTGCGGAGGTATTGAGTGGGGGCTGGGCTGTCGTTTCTCTTTGCCCCTTGGCTAAATAAACTGAGCACCTTTCCATATTTTTACTGCCTGTGCCTATTTAGTGTCCGCTTTGCTGAAGCCTGCCGTCTTTGGCCCATTCTTCTGCAGGGACTTTTTCTTAATTGATGTGCAGGAAATTTTAGGTAGAAATTGAGTAGCTTCTGGACACACTGTCTGGGTTGTATGCATTACGGATATCTCTCCCGTATACTGTGAATATCTTCTCATTTTCCTAGGATTTTCTTGTGATAGCAGAAGCCCTTTTTTTTTAGCTGCTGTCCCAGCAACTTTATTTTATTTTATTTTACTTTTTATTTTTTTGACAGGCAGAGTGGACAGTGAGAGAGAGAGACAGAGAGAAAGGTCTTCCTTTGCCGTTGGTTCACCCTCCAATGGCCGCCGCGGCCGGTGCACTGCGGCCGGTGCACCGCGCTGATCCGATGGCAGGAGCCAGGTGCTTCTCCTGGTCTCCCATGGGGTGCAGGGCCCAAGCACCTGGGCCATCCTCCACTGCACTCCCTGGCCACAGCAGAGAGCTGGCCTGGAAGAGGGGCAACCGGGACAGAATCTGGCGCCCCGACCGGGACTAGAACCCGGTGTGCTGGCGCCGCAAGGCGGAGGATTAGCCTAGTGAGCCGCGGTGCTGGCCAGAAGCCCTTTTTCATACAGGTCGGCCCTTTCTGTTTTCTGCTTAAGAAATCTCGGCCTGTGTGTTCTCTTGAAGATCAGAAGTTTGACGAGAAAGTGCTGTCCATTAAAAGCTTAAGAAACAGTCACACTCGCCTTCTCGCTCTGTCCCCGCAGGCGGCCGCTCTTTCTGTGGCCCCCGAGCACCCTGCCCCGCCAGCTCCCGCAGCCGCACACACGGAGTTCAGGGCCTCGGGCACTGGACAGAGCAGGTGTCTCGTGCTGCGCCTCGCCCCGCCGTGCACGACGGGAGCGGTGCCCGAGCTGTCCGCTTCTTGCACAGGTCGGCCCCGACGTCCTCAGGATGGGAGGGGCTCTTTCACAAAGCCCCCCCCCCCCAGCTCTGCTCTCCTTCCCTTTCCGTCTCTTCGCGCCTTCCCTGTAGACGGCACAGCCGCACACGGCTTCTATGCAGATGCTTGCGCTTGGCCGGAACAGCAGACTTCGAAACTGAGCATGGCTCCCCCTCTGCACACCGGGCTGTGACCACACCGCGGGGGCCCCTTGACCTCCCCCCTGCCCAGAGCGCACCAGGGGCTCCCCAGGCCACACCCTGCAGGCTCACGTCTGCCCCCTCCAGCTCGGGCCTCTCCGAGGGACTGGGCTTGGCATCCTGCAGTGTCCTGTGTCTTTAAGCGACACTTACCTACATCTGTTTCCCATTGCAGACCATGAGCAGGGATTTGGGTACAAGTAGTTTATCTGGGAAGCACCGTGAGGGCAGGAAGAGCAGACAGCACAGGGGCACCGCGGCGGGGGTGACTGCCACTGGCAGGGGCCACCCCACCGGGCCCCACGGAGGGTGCGTGATGGGGGTTTCAGGTCCAGCTCCTCGTGCAGCCCTCAGGGTGGCTGTGCCGTCTGCAGCGGCTCCCGTGAGAGGCCGTGGGCTGCATCTGCCTCCAGGCTGGTGATGGAGCACTTTGTCAACATCCACATTTCTTCCTGACGCAGTGGGGAGTCTGTGTTTAAATGTCCGTTCCCCTCCTGGTAGATGATTTTAACCGTGTGTCGTGGATGTCCCCCAGTTCTCCAGGTGGGAAACTAGGAGATCACACGCAGCTCTGCTGGGCCAGAAACAGGCGGCTGCCTCTGTGGCCTCCTGAGAGCCGAGCCGTCTGCCGGCCGCGGCCTCAGCTCCAGAATGCATCTGAGGATGTGGCTGTGGGGTCGCTCCTCGCTGCATTGAATGCAGGGGTCGTGTTTGCTGATGGCCTGATGGCTCTCAATGGGCAGGGGCTGATGTTCCCTGCCTGAGCCCTGCCTCTCTCTGTCTCCTTCTCAGCCGTCCATAGCTGAGGCTGGAACTGCTGAACTCAGCGCCGTGAGATGAGCCTCCCGGGAGAAAGTGCACAGAATTTTTTTTTTTTAAGCAGATTGAGCCATTTGAACTGATGCACTTGCTTGTTGGGTGTGCACACTCATGACCCCCTCTTCCTACGTGTTTCAGCCCCAGATCTGACATGGTAGCCGGGCCACGCTTCCAGCCCGTCACGGTGCCCCGTGTGCACGTGGGGGTGTTCTCAGCCGTCACACTCCCTTCCCTTCTCCCACAGCACCTGATGTGCGCCGGGCTGTGGTGTCTGGTGGAAGGAGACACGTCTTGCAAGACCAAGCTGGACCCCCCGCTGGATGGCACCGAGTGCGGGGCAGACAAGGTAACCCTCGGCCCCCCGCTGCCCCAGCAGGCAGCCCCATGTCTCCTGGGCATGGGACCTCTCTCTCTCTAGACACAGTCTGAGCTCGGTGCCCTGCAGAAAGGCCACAGAGCCCACCCTGGGCACAGGGTAGGGGGCGATGACACCACCTCCCCCCTTATTTCTGATAGGATACAAGAATCGTTTGTTTAATGTTTTGTTAGAGGAACTCCTTTTGTCATGCGAGTGATGGACCTCCAGTGAGAGGTGTCTGTCAGTACACCTGCCTTATGCAGAGGCTACCATGATCATTTGCCAAGTGTTACCCAGTCCCAGGCGGGTGTCGGGAGCGTGCTGGAGTGAGAGCAGAGGTGTTTGGGGCCAGCAGCCGCACAGCCCTCTCCGTTGTCTTGTGAGGGTGGAGGGAGAGCAGAGGAGGTGGCATTTCCCTCGGATGCCGTGAGTGGGCAAGCACTGGGTCGCATCTTGCACCTCAGGTGTGTGCTACACGTTTGGGGAATTCTATGTTACAGGATAGGCTCTCTCAGATCTCCGAGGATAACCAATTTACCCCAAGCCCAGCCCCGAAATCTCTGCAGAAGCTCAGGTCTCTCCACGAGCGATGCTGGGAACACAGAGAGTCCCAAGGGAGCAGTTCCACGTGGCAGCTCAGGGCCCGATCTGGAGGCCACGCAGGGGGTGTCACAGAGTGCACAGGCACGCTTCCGTGCACGTTCTGGGAACTGCGGGCTGGGGGCTGGGGGGATTTGGGAATGGAGCGAGCAGCGCTGCTGAGCCCCCCCTCCCACCCCTCTGCTCTGTCGCAGTGGTGCCGCGCTGGGGAGTGTGTGAGCAAGACGCCCATCCCGGAGCACGTGGATGGGGACTGGAGCCCCTGGGGCGCCTGGAGCATGTGCAGCCGAACGTGTGGGACCGGAGCCCGCTTCCGGCAGAGGAAATGTGACAACCCCCCGTAAGTCCCCCACCAGGCTCCGTCTGTGCCCAGGCAAGGCCAGGTGCGTCTCCTGCCGAGCACTGGCGTGCCGGGAAAAGGCGGTGCGTTGCAGCTCTGGGGCACAGGGGCTGAGCGTCAGGTGCCACGCAGCCCCATTGGAGTGTGTTCCACCAGCTGCAGCCCGTGGGCCCTGTGGCGGCTGCCACTGTCATCCTACCCCCACCCCGAGCCTGCATCCAGAGACGGCCATGGCATCCAGGTTCACTCCAGGGAAGCCTGCAGACTCCCAGGAAAGAGAGGCCAGCCTTGAACTTGGCTGTTAGCTGAGCCAGGAGCAGCCTTGCCACTCGGAGTGCTGTGGCTTCCGGTGCCGGTGTTCGGCCACGTGGTTTTCCTGGGTCGCCCTGGACCTGTTTGACAGGAGAAAGGATTTGGGCTCTTCTCCCAGGTGGTTTCTTTCGCTGGCTACGACAGCACCTTGGAGCATCTGCCCTGGAAAACTCAGGGCGGGTGCTGTGCTCGGTCACGGACCTTCCCTGGCCACACGTCCCCGCCTTGGAGTTCCCCGCTCCTTGCCATTTCCCTCCATGGTCTCTCTTACGTCTTGGGTGTCGTCACTGGCATCACGGCAGTTTTGAGAGTGAGCAAGCTGTGAAGTCGTAACTCAGAGAAATGTCTGTTTCCACAGTTACGTCACGTTGATGGATAACAAAGCGAACGCCTCTCGTGTTTAACAGCTCCAATGCCCCGGCTCCATCCCAGATAAATCACAGCACACGCTCTGGGGTGCGGCCAGGAGTTGGATGCCTCCTGTCCCCTCCCCACTCCATGCCCCCTGATTCCAGTGGCTGGCTGAGGCTGGGGACCTCCAGGTTAAACTTAGGCCCATGGTTTAATCAGAGCCAGGAACACCATTTTTCCTGGTAGTGCTGTGAGAGTTTGTGCTGGGGCCTGCGTTGTAGCCAGCAGGTTAAGCCGCCGTCTGCGGTGCTGGCATCCCATATCAGAGCATCAGTTCGAGTCTCAGCTGTTCCACTTCTGATCCAGCTCCCTGCCAATGAGCCTGGGAAAGCAACTGGAGATGGCCTGCCAAGTGCTCGGGCCCCTGCTACTCATGTGGGAGATGCAGCTGTAGCTCCTGGGTCCTGGCTCCAGCCTGGCCCAGCCCTGACCATTGCAGCCATCTGGGGAGTGACCCAGCAGATGGAAGATCTATCTCTCTCTTTCTCTCTCTCTTTCTCCCCCCGCCTTTCTCTCCCCCTCTCCCTCTTTCTCTCCCTCTCTCTCTCATTCTCTGGTGGTGTTTGTGTGTCTGTCTTTCCCTCTCTCCATCACTCTGCCTTTCAAATAAATACATTGTCTTTTTAAAAATTTTTATTTGTTATACAAGTTTTATATATTTCGTATATATAGATTTAGGAACATGTTGGGACTTTCCACCCACAAAAATTTCCCTGTAGCAAACATCAGAGTGCCTAGATGTTAGAGTGGTTAGGATTGACTTTTCATTAGAAGCATAGATGCATAGATGACCCTGTTAGCTAAACAGTGAGAAATTAAGGTACATAATTGATATACAATTATTATTAATAATTATTAGTCATTTTATTAAGTATAATTATATAATTGCATGATGATTAACATAATTAGTAAATATTATAATTAGCCAGTATGATTCATATAATTGTGTATGATTGTGTAATGACTATAATTATTAGTAATAATTATTAATAAAATTAAAATACTGCACTGTGTTGGAGCTGGGACCACTAGAAGAGAGCTTGGGGTTTGAGCTGGTGGTGCTGAGACTGAGACCCCACTCTGTGGGTTATTGGTGCTGTGACCTCAGGAAGCTCCTCCTGTGCCTTGGGCCTCCGTTTCCCCCACTGGAGGAAGCTGACGTGGCCCAGAGGGGAGATCCGGGCTTGAAGCCCAGGGCAGACCAGTGTGACTGCAGATAACAAGTGAGAACTGCGCTTGCCTGACAGGAAAACCAGCACCATTCTCGGGACGCCTGCGAAGTCGTGGCAGCCCGTGATCCGCGCCTCTCCCGGGACTCGCAGTAATGGCAGAGCAGCGGGGCCTCTCGCCCCACTGGCCGACGCGCAGACTGACTGGCGGCTCAGAGGAGGTGGCTTTTGGGGAAGGCCTTGCCGAGGACAGGTTGAAGTTTGCAAGGGTTGTGGTTGCCGTAGGTGCCCCCCCTTTGCGGGGGGAGCTTGTGGCACATAGCGTGGGTCATCCTGAGTCAGGTGACGCCCAGTCGGCATCACAGCCGGGGCGGTCAGGCCCTAGATGTCCAGAGGATCCTGTGTTCCCAGACTGTGGACAGCATCAACAATTAGGCTGTGCGCGGGTGAGGGCATCAGACGTTGTCTGATTGAGAGAATCAGATGTCAGTGCTGGGCAATGCATTAAGCACAATTTTTATCTCTATTTGGGAGGCAGAGCAAGCTCTCATCCCCTGCTTCACTCCCCAGGTAGCCTCAGGGCCGGGGATGGGCTGGGGCCAAGGCCAGGAGCCGGGAATTCTGTCAGGTCCCCCCCATAAGTGGCAGCGATGCCACTGCCTGACAAGTCTTGGCTGCCTCCCAGGGCCTGCAGCAGCCAGAAGCTGGAATCAGAAGCCGAGCGGGGACAGAAACCCAGGTTCTCTGCTGTGGATGCGGCTGTCCTAGCAGCATGTCAGTCACCCTGGCATGGCATGTAAGGGACTCAGTGCTGTCCTGCTTCTGGGGACGACTTTGCTAGGGTGTCCGTCCACCTACTTTCCTGAGCGCTGTGGCTTCTGGCCTTGGCTGTGCCCCATCTCCCTGCCTGCCACGGGCCCTCTGGGATGAACGGCCCCACGCTGACCCACGGCCCCTGGCCTGAGCTGGCGGGGATTTCCTGTGTTCATCAGGGGCCAGTGGTCCCAGGGAGGCTGTTTGGGAAATCACACTGTTGTGAAATTCGTCAATTCCTCTTCTGGATCGGGTATGCACCCGGGGCCCACCGTGGTCTTCGGGAGCTTTATCTTGCCTTGTTTCTCTTCTTGCATCTTTCCGCAGGGGAGCAGGGCAATAGGGCTGCCACCCTCCCTCGGGGAGGAGGACAATAGGGCTGCCACCTTCCCTTGGGGAGCAGGACAACAGGGCTGCCACCCTCCCTAGGGGAGCAGGACAATAGGGCTGCCACCTTCCCTTGGGGAGCAGGGCAATAGGGCTGCCACCCTCCCTCGGGGAGGAGGGCAATAGGGCTGCCACCCTCCCTTGGGGAGCAGGACAATAGGGCTGCCACCCTCCCTTGGGGAGGAGGACAATAGGGCTGCCACCCTCCAGCAGCCGGGCTCATGGGTCTCAGGTGCTGATGGGGCTTCCTGTCGGTCTGTCGTCCAGCAGCACCCATGGGTAAGGGCGACGGGAGAAACAGCAGAGAGAGGCTGGGGTCCTCAGTCCTGCCAGCTCCTGGCCTCTGCCCCTGGGGCGCCTTGTAACACTGCACCTTCATGAACTTGACCCTGGTCCTTCTAGACTCTGTCACTATATGTGTGCACCATAGTGACCAGCAAAGACAGATACAGTTCCTGCCCTCAGGGCACGGGCCCCCCAGCCTCCCTTGGCTCTCTCCCGCATGCTTCAAACCGGGCTCTCTCTACTTGAGAATCCCCCTCGCAGCACAGGTCCACCGTCGCAGGACACCACCTAGCCCCTGTAGCCTGTACACTAAGCCTCGCAACCTGCACCATCTCCCGTGGCCCTCCTCCTCCTCCTTCCTGTCTGACCATGAGAGGAGGCAAATGCCACAGGGCCCCCATGTGCTGCTGGGTCCCTCAGGTGTTTGTGGAGTGAGTCACTGCACACAGCACCCCCATCGCACAGACAGGGCTGAAACACGGAGGAGTTAAGTGCTTTGTCCCAGGGCGCACAGGCCGGGTCTGCAGCTCAGCTCTGCAAACTGGGAGTCCTGGTGCCAGGGTTGTTGCATGCTGCAATGCCAACATCCCATGTGGGCCTCGGTTCAAGTCCCGGCTGCTCTACTTCTGATCCAGCTCCCTGCTAATCCACCTGGGAAAGCGATGGAAGATGGTCCACGTGCTTGGGACCCTGCCACCCACGTGGGAGACCCTGATGGAGTTTCTGGCTCTGTCTGGCTCAGCCCTGGTTGCTGTGGTCTTTTGAGAGTGAACCAGCACATGGAGGAGCTCTGTCCCTGTCTCTGTCTGCTCCTCTCTCTCTCTCTCTCTAACTCAGCCTTTCAAAAAAGTAAATGAATCTTAAAAAAAAAAAAAAAAGTAGAAGCCAGGATTCCAAGGTCAAGGTGTCGGCAGGGGTTTTTCCTCCCCGAAGCTCTGAACAAGAATCCATCCCACCCCTCTCTCCTGACCGCTGGTGTTTTTGGCTGTGCTTGGCTGGCAATGGCTTGAAGATGCATGACCATCTCTCCCTCCATCTTCACGTGGTCTCTGCTCTGTGTGTCTTCTAGAAGGACACTTGGTGTTGCATATAGAAACATAATCCAGGATGGTTCTCATCTCCTCACACCTGCCACGACCCCTTTTCCAAGGGAGGCTGCATTCACAGGTTTTGGGTGCACCTCGGTGTGGGGGGGAAGGGGCGCCTCCTCTTCAGTCCTGCTGTTTGCACATTGCAGCCTCGGGCCCTTCACAGGCTGCCGTCACTCCCGGGCCATGCCTCTGCCCCTCCAGGTCTCCGTGAGTGTCCTATGTGAGAGGCCCTGTCCGTGACACCCCTCCCTCGGCACCTGTTCTGGACGTAGCAGGAATGAGGATGGTTGCTGGTACGGCTGTCTCCTTGCTCCCTTGCTTTCAGCCTGTTCTCCCCACTAAAGGCCTGGGATGGGCCGCCCTTCTCGGCCCGGCCGCTCCTCCGGCCGCAGCAGAGCAGCCACGCTGCAGACCAGGCGCCCCGATGCATGCTTGCCCAGGAGAGGCCACCTCTGCAATCCCCAGGCTCTGAAACACCCCTGTGTCTCCCCCACACCATGCTCTGAGACACCAGAGTGCCTGGAAGTGACTGGGCCCAGCAGGTGGCTCACCAGGTGGGCCTCCTTCCCTGCTGCCGTCTGCCGCCACTAAGACAGCCCAGGGGAGCCCATCGGCAGCAAGGCTGCGGCGCCCAGGCCAGGGTACCAGCCCCTCTCAGGATGCCTCCCCTTTAGCACAGAACCCAGCTCTCTGCACCCTGAGTGACAGGCACGGTGTAGATTTGCTCCGTAATGTGTACGCCCCTGCAGTCTATGCAGCCCCACTTCCTGGTCCGTGCAGCCCCACTTCCTGGTTCGTGCAGAAACAATGGGCTCTTTCTTTCCTTGTAGTTTTCAGTGAGGTCCTCGCCGTGTGTGCAGGGCTTCCTGACAGTGCGGTGCAGTCAGCGCTGTAGGGAGCTGAAGCCGCATGCGTGCTGCAGCCTGCCCTACAGAATGGCCTGATGCAATGATGTTGCAAAGCACAGCTGAGTGAGGCCTCGGAGCCAAGCTCTGGCCCGAGCCGCGTCTTCTCCCGATCTCTCTCGTCAAATCGCTGGGCCCGCTGTCTGGCGATGGCACAGGACGTGTGCATCTCACTGCAGTGTGGGCCTGGGCTTGGGACACTCCGATGGCCCTCCCCTCCCCCATCCTCTCACCTCAATAGTCCCTGCTCCTGTTCCCGTCTTCTGCAGCTGGGTTAGTCACTGTCCAAATGTGACCAAGCTCTTGCTGGTCTTGGTCTTTACAGCCTTGGGAAGTTTGTTTTAGTTTTTGTTTGCTTCTTGTTTTTTTTTTTTTAACCAGCTGACCTTGAAGCCTTGGAGACCATCTTTTTTTATTTTTAAGATTACTTAGGGGGCTGGCACTGTGGCATAGCCAGTAAAGCCACCACCTGCAGTGCTGGTGGCATCCCATATGGGTGCTGGTTTGAGTCCTGGCTGCTCCAGTTCCGATCCAGCTCCCTGCTATGACCTGGGAAAGCAGTGGAAGATGGCCCAAGTCCTTGGGCCCCTGCACCCACCCAGAAGCAGCTCCTGGCTCCTGGCTTCAGATCAGTGTGGCTGCAGCCTTTGCGGCCATCTGGGGAGTGAACCAGCAGATAGAAGACTTCTCTCTCTCTGCCTCTGCCTCTCTGAAACTCTGCCTTTCAAATAAATAAATAAATCTTTTAAAAATATTATTTATTTGAGAGATATCTTCCATCTGCTGGTTCACTCCCCAAATGGCCACATCAGTCAGGGCTGGGCCAGCTGAAGCCAGGAGCCAGGAGCTCCATCCAGGTCTCCCACGTGGGTACAGGGGCCCGAGTACTTGGGCCACTTTTACTGCTTTCCCAGGTGCACTAGCAAGAAGCTGGACTGGAAGTGGAGCAGCCATGACTCAAAGCAGCCCTTTGATGGGGGACGTGGGTGTCCTGAGTGGTGGCTTCATCCGCTGTGCCACAGCCCCGGCCCCGCCATCCGCTCCTGGGCTCAGCCTTTCCTGCCCTGACTCATTGCACGCTTGGTGGGAGTGACAGAAGACGGAAGGACAGAGCCGCCATCTCTCGGTAGAATTAGGCACCCCTTCAAATGTGTGTACCTGGGGGTGCTCTTACCCTACAAGTGCAGGGTGGGAAGGAGCGTGTGGACGGGATGCCCTAGGCTCACCCCGCAGCATTGCCTGTCGGGCACTGGCAAGGAGAGCAGCAGCTCGCCCCCAAGTCCCAGCGGGAGGACAGGGGCCACAGCTGAGGCCTGCAGGTCGTTCCTCTCCCAGTCACACCCACGTGTGTGCCCAGCACTCCTGTGAGTACTTCCTGACAATCCCAGGCTGCTCCACTTACACGTGGGCTGCGTGTGTTACTGGGGTACCTTTCACACGAGGCCTTACCCCAGGACTCGGCTGCCCTAAGCGTGTAGCAGCAGCCCGGCAGCTTCCCCCTGCTCGCTCATGGGAGCTCACGGAGCCTGGATGGGCTGGAACTGCTGTCTCTGCTGCGCACGCTGTGTGACTTTATCTCCCTGTAATAGGGCACAGCAGAGACCATGGCCGCTCAGTGGCGCCCCCGTCCCTTCCAGCCTGCCTCAGATCTGCACATTCACCCACTGGCAAGGAGAGGGCCCCTCTGCTGCCTGGTCCTACTCCTCTCTGCAGAGCTCTCTGCTTCTCTGCTCCACGCCTGGGTCTGCCCAGGGTGCCGCGGCTGTAGGCTGTCCTCCCCTCCGGGAGAGAGCTTGGGAAGAATCTGTCGAGGTACTGGGGTTAGGACCTCAGCGTATAGATGAGAGAGGAACAGGCATTCAGTTCACAGCACCGTGCCCGACCATATCGGCTGCAACCTTCGTCCCCTCTCAGTCCCCAGTCAAGGAACTTGGTTGCCTTGGCGAGGTCTCCTGCTGGGCTGTGTGGCTGCTCCTTCCACACTCAGCTTTGTGGCAGGGAATCTGCTCACCCTGTGCACACCTGGCACCTGGGCCCGGGTTAGGGGGAGACTGTGTGAGGCTCTCTGTCTGTCTAAAGACACCACATGGTTGTTACTCTGAACTCCACCTGCCTGGAGTTCTCGACAGGACACACAGCACAAGGTTCTCGGGGCCCATAAACCTCATAGAGGACCAGCCATTTCCTAACTGGGTCTATATCTTGGAGAACAGGACTCAGGGTCCCTCTGTGGGGCCACCAGTGTACAAAATCTCTCCAGGCCTCCCCGATCCCAGGGCCAGAGCTGTTGTACCGAGTGTGGACAGAGAAGTCGGAGGCTGAGACGTGAAGGGAGCCTTCTCCACTAAGGATGTTTTCTCCAGGACGTCTCTGCAGACCAGGAGCTGGAAAACTGTGACCCATGAAACCCATTTGCCTCACCACCTGGCTTTGTCAGTAAAACTTTATTAGCACACAGCGTGCCTATCTCTTACATATTTTCTCTGGCTGCTCCTGTGCCAAGGTGGAGGGCTTGAGTTGTGGCTCATGAAGCCAGAAACCTCCACTCCCTGACACCAAAGCCGCCTCCCGCTCCTTTATCTGTCCCCTAAAGCAGTGCTCCTGGGGTGACCCTCCCGTCTGAACATGAGAGTTGCCAGAGGAAGAGGAATGAAGTGGCTTCCTCTGTCGGACGTGTCTCCCGCCGAGAGCTGGGTGTGGTTTGAGGAAACTGCTGCGCTGTCTTCTCATATACTGACCTTCCAGGAAAAGCACAGGAGGAAGAAAACAGAACGTGGGGCCGGGGTAGTGGCGCAGTGGGTTAAGCCGCTGGTTACAATGCCGGCATCCCCTCTGGAGTGCTGGTTCTACTCCTGGATGCTCTGCTTCTGATCCAGCTCCCTGCTAATGCACCTGGGAAGGCAGCAGACGATGGCTCAAGTCTTTGGGGCCCTGCTGTCCACATGGGAAGCCCAGAGGGAGTTCGGGTCTCCCGGCTTCAGCCTGGACCAGTGGGTAGAGAACCAGCAGGTCAGATCTCTAACCCGGTCACTGGGCCTCTCAAATAAAAAAATAAACAAACAAAACCTTACTCCATCAAGATGAGCTTGCACTGTGGAGATAAAGGGAACCTTTGAGGATGCCAGGTCAGGGTCCTCCAGGGACACCCCAGGGACACCCCAGGGCTTGTGGTGGAGCTGAGCACGCCGCGCTCTGCCAACCAGCGTCCCGACCCCCACCTCAGTGCCTCTCATCTGCCTGCCTGCCCCACTCAGGGCAGGCTGGTCTCCAGAGCTGCTGAAACATCTGGCCAAGCTCCCAGCCTGGGCCTCCAGGCTGCAGCACTGACCATGCATGGCTGCACACTTGCCCTGGTCAGGGTTGCATAGCCGGGATCTAACAGGCTCTGCTCTGTCGGCAGGTGCACGGATCCTTCCGATTCATTGCATTCTAAAGTAAACGAGAGCTACTTATTCATCACCCTGGAACTCAGCAACCTCCCAGTACGCCTGGGAGCCATGGCACAGTACACGTGGGAAACCCAGGTCCCACAGCAGAGTGCCTGGGGGAGCCCCATAGAGGCACTGGTGATGGCTCAAGTATTTGAGTCCCTGTCACCCACAAGGAGGACTAGGATTGAGCTTCTCTCTCTCTCTCTCTCTCCTTTTCAAATACCATGAAATTTGAAGGTTTTTTTTTAATCATTTCAGAGAAGACCCAAAAAAGACCACACACACACATCAAAAATCTCCCTTCGGGTTTTCATTGTCAAGGTCAAGTGAAAGACGCGATCTGTGGCTCTGGCTTGCTTCCGTTTCCCAATACCCTTGACTTAATGCTCCCGGATGCACCCTGTGACGGCTCACTTGAAGGTGCCGGCAGCACATTCTGGGATGGCCGAGAGGGGGTCTGAAAGAGCAGAAGGCTTTCCAGGGAAACCTTGTCCACCTCTGCAGCTCCATCTGGCTAACGCAGATCTCCGTCTCCCTTCCAGCCCAGGGCCTGGAGGCACGCACTGCCCGGGCACCAGTGTGGAGCACGCAGTCTGCGAGAACTTGCCCTGCCCCAAGGGTCTGCCCAGCTTCCGGGACCAGCAGTGCCAGGCGCATGACCGACTGAGCAGCAGGAAGAAGGGCCTGCTGACCGCGGTGGTGGTTGACGGTAAAGGCAAACGGAGCTTCTCATGTGGTGGTCTCCCTCCCTCCTCCCAAGAACATAAAAGCCCCTAGGGAAGCCCACAGGGCACCCTCTCCCCAGGTCAGCTCTGGCCGCTCCCTGAGCCGTGGGGTTGAACTTGAACGATCAGCTCTCTGAGCTTGGCCAGGAACAGCGGAGGAGGCAGGCAGCAGGCCAGGCTCATCCTGCACTCCTCCAGCTGCAGCACAGCAGGTGCGCCAGGACCTGTCCCCCCTCATTGCCAGGTGCTGAGGGACCCAGGACAAGCTTTTGGGGACCGCGAGGCTTTCTGGGGGTGGAGCAGAGCCGTAGGGTGCTGTGTCTGCTCTCCTGCTTCCTAGCATTGATATCTTCCTGCAATGCTTTTCCCAATCCTTTCTGGCTCCGACCCCTTGACTGGGATTTTAGGGAAATCCTGGAAACAGTTTGCTGGGCAGGGAGGCGCTGATAAGCACAGATCACATTTACTTCCCAGGAGCTTCCTCCCAGGCTGAGAGGCCCTGCCCCCACTGCAGCACCCCCAGGCTGCTCTGGGACTGGTCGGACCCCAGCTGGCGGACCACGTCTCTGAGGCTCTGGGATGTCTGTTGTAAGCGAGGACAGCCCAGGGCCTAGTTCTGTGTGGCTTTTTTCCCCACCTAAACCTCGGCTCCTCTTTAGGAAACAAGCCTTCGGGTTTCGTTACTGGATGTATGGCCCCCTTTACACCATGTGTCAGGCACGCATTAGCTCTGCACACAGCATCTCGCTGCGCAGGAGACGGGAGGTGACAGGGGACCAGTCTGAGCTGACTAGAGGCAGGAGAGACGCCGACCCCGATAATAATGGAGGAATACAGACTCAGAAAATAGCTGCCTGTCTGCTGGCTCCCAACACATGGAGAAGACAGGAAGTACCACTTTGTGCGCAGAGCAGGGGAGCTCCGGAGGAAGCTGCCCAAGCAGGCCTGGCTCCCAGCCGGCCTCGGAGCAGGGGCCTTCCGGGCCAAGTCTTCGTTTCTCCCCAGTGATGAGGAGGATGCTTGCAGGCTTCCCTCTGCGGGTGCTTTGACAAGTTCAAGTGTGCATCACTGTGCGGGACGGGCCCAGGCATCGCTGCAACGGTGGCTTCCCACACACAGCTTCACCCCACAGCCTGACCTGAGAGCTCTGAGCCAACCTGCAAAGCCACGCGGACGCTGTGACAGCAATGACACCAGCCTGAGTAGCTGTGGCCTCTGTTTCAAGTATCGTCTTCCCCTCCTTTGGGGGTTGCGTCGCTGCTGCCGCTGCACACTTAGCCTCCAGCACGCGGGAGCAGCGCCACCTTCGCGCCCTGCCTTCCCAGCAGGCCAGGGGAGGAGGAGTCTGGTGCGCAGCTGCAGGCTGCCCCGTGGGGGAGCCCCTAGGCTTCCAGCCGTGGGCCGATCAAGACCCTGACTGGGGCTGGCGCCAGCACCATGGCTCACTAGGCTAATCCTCCACCTTGCGGTGCCAGCACACCGGGTTCTAGTCCCGGTCGGGGCGCCAGATTCTGTCCCGGTTGCCCCTCTTCCAGGCCAGCTCTCTGCTGTGGCCCGGGAGTGCAGTGGAGGATGGCCCAAGTCCTTGGGCCCTGCACCCCATGGGAGACCAGGAGAAGCACCTGGCTCCTGCCATCGGATCAGCGCGGTGCACCGGCTGCAGCGCGCCGGCCGCAGCAGCCATTGGAGGGTGAACCAACGGCAAAAGGAAGACCTTTCTCTCTGTCTCTCTCTCTCACTGTCCACTCTGCCTGTCAAAAAAAAAAAAAAAAAAAGACCCTGACCAGGAGTGAGAGCGCAGCAGCCTGGTTTCGGAGCCTCAGCCGCCCCCACTCGGCGGGAGCAAGGAGAGGTCAGGCGGAGAGGAGCCGCCGCGCCTGCCGCAGGCCCACCGTGCGCACAGAGCTGCTGTTTTTCTTTCCTTGGTCGCTTGCCTCACTGTGGAATTCTCCTGCCTCATTTCATCAGTGCACAAATCCCACTTCAGTGCCTGATTTTCCACAGATTTCTCCAAGAGCAGATTAAGCCCCCGGTTTACTCACGGCGGCTTCGGGATGGCTGCGCCCTCTGGGTCCTTATCATCCTCACCGGCTGAGACTTCCCCCGACCAGGTCCTCCAGCCAGGCGGCCTCACAGCGAGACGAGCGACCAGAGGGAGCTCGCGGGGCTGGGAACGAGGCTTCTCAACCTGATTTTGTTTTTTTTTGTTTGTTTGTTTGTTTTGTTTTTTTGTTTTTTTTTGGCGTGTTTTTGCCGAGGAATACATAACTAGCATGCCACTGCTTTTGATCTGGGGGAGAAAACGCCTTTTGGATAAGGGCAGCTAATAGGCAACAAAGCACAAGGGATTCACAAAGTTCATGGAAATCCGGAATTTAACAATGACTGGAGTTTGGTGCAAAAATTTTTGAAGTCCATGCAAACTTTTACTTTTTTTTTTCATTTTTTGTGCTAGGCATCGCCCGTGGGCTGCCTGCAGACCCCTAGCGTTTCGTCTTTGCAGGAGAGGCTGAGTCCAGGCTTTGCACGGGGAGCGGACCCGCCCCCCTCGCTCTCCTCGGTGTGGAACTGCTGCGATTTCTCCCACGTTTGGTCCTTGCACACTCACCGGAAGCCAGCGTTTGTTCAAGGAGCATTTTCCCATGTTGAAGACCGGGCTTCCGGGGGCGGGACTCCTGTGGCCGGGCTGTGGGCTGTGCGCGCCGCAGCCGCGCGCTGCTCGGCGCCTTGGCGAGGGTCGCCCCGGGGAAGGAAAGCGAGGTGTTTTTCTTTTTTCAAGAGTTCTTGCAGAGGTGGATTTTCCGAGGAGGGACTCGGACCGCAAGTCCAGAGCCCTCCCTGGGAGGACACAGCCTCGCCTCGGAGAGTTTCCAGGTGGAAAAGCCGCGGGCAGACACGCAGCCCCCGTCTGCCTGCCCCTGGGCAGAGACCTTCTAGAAAGTTCTGCCTGCTCCGCGCAGGGCAGCAGGCACGAGCCCACCTAGGTGCCGGGGACCCATTGAGGGCTGGACGCAGAGAGAACTAGCCCCATCCCCCAGGCCTGGGCCTCCCAGGGGACGGGACGTGGTGGTGAGGGTCTGGCACCCCCTCTTAGCCGAGCGAGCTGGCGCTGATGAGGACAGAGAGGGATGCTGCCCCGGGCCCAGCTCCATGATACATGCATAGGAGGCGGACCGCTAGCGCCCCCTGCAGGCCGGCTGTCTCCTCCTAGTTGGGTAGGGGAGCCTACATCCCTTGCGCAAATCCTCGCGGTGGCTCCGTATTCAGAGCATCTTGGAAAGTGCTGGAAAGGCGATGCCGGTGTGACAGCCGAGTACTGACACTCGCAGTGGGATCCGGGGAAGCTCCCGTGGTCAGACACAGGGGACTCCACCGGTGACCTGGGGCAGCCTCCTAGAGCGGGCTCTGACCCCTGGAGCCTCGGGTCAGCTGGCATGGCTGCCCCATGTGCTTGCCACAAATACCAGAAAACACCGCAAGGTGTCAGAGCTTTTTGCGTTTCTGAATTCCAGGCAAAGGCAGAGACATGAGTGGAATCTGTCAGCTGTGAGCAGGTGCACCTCTCTGTGCCTGAATGCCGGTGTGGATTCCCATGGAGGGACTCTGATCCGGCTAGGGTCAGGTGATCATGCCTGTCCAACCAGCTGAGGCCTGACTGCTGAGAACCAGCTGTAAGGCCGGGGAAGGGGCCCCAGCAGCTGCTCACCGTGTGTCTCCCACAGAGGCCCCAGCAGAGTTTGGGTGAGCATTTGTCTTGTCCTCTAAACTAAATGGTGCCTCTGCCTGAGTAAGACTTTGTCCTGTAGAGCAGAGAAAGCAGGAAGGCTCCTGTGTGCTGTGGGGCCCAAGGCGGTCCTCCAAGCATCCACCCAGCCCTTACAGCCATGTGGCTCTCGAGTGACTGAACCCACCTCCCCTGCCCCACCTGTGGCTTTACCTAGCCAAGCAGCAGGCTGGTGGGAAGCCAGGGCAGGCTTAGACAGGCTAGCCTCCAGGGAGCTTCACCTCAGCACCACAGCCTCGCAGGGGCCTGGGCGCACTTCTCTCCTTGGTGTGTGTGGGTGTGTGACTCTCAAAAGGATCGGGACTCCCATACCACCTGCAGTGGAGACACATTGACACTGAGCTCGAAGCTGAAAACCCATCACCCCGTGTTGTGGATCAGGGTCTTCATGCCGGAGATGCGTTCCTCACCCAAGGCAGCAGGGGGGAAATGTGCAGTGACTCTTAGAGAGCTCTGAGCACCCATCGCAACGTTTGTAGAGTCATCCTCAGTCCCCGTGGGAAACAAGGCTACACTTCACTTGTGTGTGTGGGGGGGGGTGCCCTGGACCCTGACAGGGTCTTCAGAAAAGGAGGACATGTAGAGAGAGGCCCAGCTGAGCGGAGGAAGCATCCCACCTCTGACTCTGTGCTGACCCCTGGGGTATCCAGAGCCTTGGAGGCAGTGTGCACAGGTGCGAGTCCAGTGTAGGTGGAGTTGACCGTTCCTCCTTGCCTAGGCTCATGGCCAGTACCCGTGCTTTCAAAGTGGACCCCTCTGCTCTCAAAGTCTCCACTCCTCTGATGCTCACAGCCTGGACAAACGGCAGGCTGGTTCTGACCCAGGCTGGTCCAGCTTCCCTCAAAACAGCCTCTCCTTTTCCATCCAGATTTCCTAGTTCTGCTCATGTCAGAGACCGTATTTGGAATCCAGGAGCTTCCTTGAGCCTGGTGGTTTGTTTTCACTGTGACACCATTTTGCTGCTCATTACTTTTAACCCCAACAGTTCTCGATTCAGAGCATAAGTAGTGATGCTGGGAAAGAGACCAGGCTGCAGCGAAGAGGCATAGCCATGCCCTGGCAGCCGAGGGACTCGGCACGGCCATGCGTGTTCTGTGAGCCTGTGTGCTCATCCGTAAGAAGGAATGATGACTGCACACACCTGAAATGCATAGACACTGCATAGCATGCTGCCTGCTACATAAGAGATGACTGTTACTTCTGATTTTATTGTCATCAAAGCCCATTTACTCCCAGCATTCAGCCAGCATTTTGTTCTGGTGGGGATTAAAGTCCACAGTGCCGAACCACCGCAGTCGAGGGACCCTTCCGCACAGTGAGGCATGAGAGGCAGCTGAGTGAGCGCAGTGCACACACGGGTCTGATCAGACCAGGGGCTGTGTCTCTGCATCTCCCCAGAAAACCTCAGACCCCAAAGAACACTCGTTGGTCTCTCACAGGAGCCCCTGGAAGCTGGGCTCAGTGACCATCTGCATCCCACCGTTCTCCACCAGGCGCCTCCGTGGGCCACTCCATCTAAATGGAGGGACAGCTGCCCCAGCCTGCCCTTAGGAAATGAGTCATTCTGCTCATGCCCTGTGCCTCTGATGGCTCATATCAGACTCAGCCCACAGGACTTCTCACATTCCACCTCATCCAGGGCTTGCCCTGTGCTTGCCCATGTGATACTGTTACCTTTCTTTCCTGAGCAGTGCCCACAGACCGCCTTAGGTGAGTGAGGGGCGCAAGTCATGTTTGTTGAATGAATAAACGTCAGAGGACCAGCACCCTGACCTGGGGAGCTGAAGCTCTCCCCTGTGTCCCTCAGATCAGACTTTTCCCCTCTGCAACTCCCTGGAAGAACTGAGCTGAATTCCGGAGACTCCTCTGGTGCTCTGAGATAAGCTCTCCTCGTGAGCCTAAGGACCACAGAGGCTACCCAGTCGCGACAGCCCCTGGGACTGGGTGAGATGGCACAGCTGCCCTGACAAGGACTCCCCAGCCGGGTGACCGAGTCACTCAAGTGCTGACCAGGACAGCAGACTAAAGGCTGAGGGCTGTGTGTACAAGGTGCTCATTACTAAGTCTGTCCCACCCCATACCAGCAAGGACCTGGGAGGAGAGTGCTGGGCTACATGCTACGGGGTGATGGGAGCCTTCTAGAAGGCCAAGTGCTGGGGGAGTTTGCAGACAGGGAATAGCCCAGGCCCAAGGACAAGAGCTTGGAGCACTGTGGGAGTGCAGGTGCATCAAGGGGCTGCGGGAACCAGGATGTCCACCCTCTCGCCCCCTGCCGTTCCCCTTGGGTACCTATTCCTGCTCAGTGTCTTCCAGAACCTTCATCATAGCACAGCTCTGCTGTCCAGCAGCTGGGGAGCATTAAAGCCTTTAGCAAAAGCCACTGCCGTGGGGGCACTGCGAGGTTAAGCCCCCGCCCGGAGATGGCCACAGCTCCCTCCCAGGCTCACGCTATTGGCCCATATTCAGCATACGTAGAGGTTAGCACGCAACTCTGCCTTTGTGCAGCCTCGTGTGTGTGCTGCCTTCGGGGAGAGGAAACGTTGCATCTGAGCCGAGGGTAAAGGTGACAGGGCTTGCCACACTGTCACTGACCTGAGTCTGAGGGTTTCCCCCCGTTCTCTGTATCAGGTATTCAGAGGAGCAGGTGCATAGACCTGAGAGAGCCTGCTAAGCCGCTTTATTTACCTGTGTCCACCTCTCTTCCCGTGGGCTCACGCATCACCCACATACACCTGCTGCCTGCCTGGCCCGCACACTTCTTCCTATGTCAACGTCCGCCAACCTTTCCCTCCTCAGATAAGCCGTGTGAACTCTACTGCTCGCCCCTTGGGAAGGAGTCCCCACTGCTGGTGGCCGACAGGGTCCTGGACGGCACCCCCTGCGGGCCCTACGAGACCGACCTCTGCGTGCATGGCAGCTGCCAGGTGAGGTCACCTCCGCCGAGTCTCCCGCGGGGCACTGGAGGGTGGCGCCCTTCCCCTAACAGGCTTGTGACGGACTTGGGTTGTGAGGACGTGGACTCTCTTGGGAAGGCTCCCAGCAGGGCCACACCGGCAGCTGCCAGCCCTGTCCTGGTGCCGTCTTTGGCAGTGATGGAGCCTGATGCCTGCCTGCAGGTCCACAGGGAGCTGGGCTGGTTGAAAAATCATCTCGGAACTTCCAAGGCGGCGTCAGGTGTCGCGCGAGAGCAGGTGGCACACTCTGGAGGGGCCGGAGGGCGCGTGCAGGGGCCCTGCTCCCCGCCCTTGTGGAAGCAGGCAGACTCCTCGGGTGCTCCCCAGACGAGGCGGAGGCGCACGCCACCCTGACGCGGTGTCGGCAGCTCAGTACAGCCCTGGTCGGTGCGGTTGGAGGAGGGGAGGAGGCTGCCCCTCCGCCTGAGCCGAGGGCCCCTGCAGCCTGTGGCAGGGCGGGTGACTGCGCTCCTGGTTTGTGATGCCGTGCCCCAGCTGCAGCGGTGGAGGTGAGGGCCGGGGCTCTTGGCGTCTGGAGGAGGCGGGTCAGGTGCTGCCCACTTGAAGTAGCTACAGGTGCTGCCGTATCTCTCCTGGGGACTCGGGGTGGGTGAGGGGGCCTATGTCACCCAGGCTGCATTCATGAAATCCGGTCGTGCACAGCAGGAGCTGGTCTCACGGGGTCGGAGGACGGGAAGTCCGGCAGCAAGGCCCTGGCAGATTTGGTGTCTGGGAGGGTTTTCTCCTTCCGAGGGGGGGACATGCCTTCTGGCTGTGTCTTCGTGTGGGAGGAGGATCTGGCTAGTTCTGGGGTCTGTTTGATAAGGGCACTAATCTTGCTCATGAGGGCTCCACCCTGCGACCTCATCACCCCCCAAAGACCCCACTTCCTACGGCCATCGCCTTGGCGGGAAGTGGGGTGTCAGCCTGTGAGTTTGGGGGGACGCACACATTCTGACCACAGCACCCGGGGAGCTCCGCCCTCCGTTGTGCGTGCCCGCCCGTATCAACAGTGCAGCCACGCCCCCTCAGCTGTATCCTCAGCAGATGATCCCACCTGGAGCTGTCGGAAATGGTGGGGGGCAGGACTGCTGTGCCCTGGCCTAGAAAGGACCCCTGCGTCTTCCCTCTGATTTGTGGCTTCCTTTGACCCCAGCGTGAGACTGAACAAGGCAGCCCCTGCCAAAGGCCCCAGGGGCCTCCTCGCGTCGTTCCGCACACCTTGCAGAGCCGACGCAGGTCCCTGAGGTTGCTTCTGGGAGATCTCGACAGCATTTGAGTGACTGTACCTTCCTGGGGCCCTGGGGGAGACGCTGCCATCCTCACTTCACTACGTGTGCGGACCCTGGCCCCTGAGCTGGGCATCCCTGGCCCATGGGGGCAGCAGATGTGCCCTACGCTCATTGCTGCCAGGGTGCCTAGCAGAGAGTTCCGGCCTCGGGGTTGGGAATGCGTGAAAGGCAGAGGCAGAGGAAGGGAAGCAGAAGACCCGGGTCCCCAGCCAGCTCGCGAGGCGACGCCTGCAGCTAACCGTCTGGCCCAGCAGGTTTTCTTCGCTGTCCCAGACAGGGCCGTTTCCGGGATGGCCTGGCTTTGTTATCAAACACAGGCGAGTGTGGGAGCCAAATGCTCAGAGCCGGGGTCTTGGCGAGGCAGCGGTGAGCTCCTCCTTGAAGCGTGTGAGGCACTGCCCCTAGGGCAGCAGGACCAGCGTGCTGACCTGAGGCTGTGCTGACCGTTCTTAGTAAACCTGCTCCCAAGCCAAGTTCAGGGCTGTTTCCTTCCTAAGGGACCCGCCAGCCGGGGCCAGCCTGTGTGCCAAGGTGTGGCCACGCAACAGCTTAGGCTCCTTTGCTAACGACTTCCCTCACCCTCAGAGCAGCCCCAGCCGAGTCCCCCACGACCCCCAGCCTCCCGCCAGCACCTTCTGCTGTGTTCTTACCTGGCTAAGAACCCTGGAAGTCTCTGCCCAGGGCTCTGTGCTGCTTGCTCTTAGTGATTTACGCCAGGGGATCCTCTGCCATGATGTTGGTTTTCATCTTGGCCTTCTGCGCTCGGGAAATGTCCCTGTGCCATGACAGTAAAGCCTTCCATTCTTTAGTCAGCGGAACAAAAGCACGATACTGCCCAAGACACTGCGGCAGCCTGAAGTCTGTGGCCATCCGGGCACTGCTGAACCCAAGCCTGTTCTGCACCTGGGTGTGGACTCAGTCCGTCCAGGCTGCGGAAACGTAGTGGCACAGACCACTCGCATGGCTTGTAAGCGACGGACATGGATTTCCAGCGTCGTGGAGGCTGCAGGACGCCCGAGGTGCCAGCAGGATTGGGTCTGGGAGGACCTTCCGCCAGGCTGCAGACTGCTGACTCCCCGCAGAGCTACTTCCCTCCCGGCCTCTTCTCTTAAAGGCACTAATCTCGTTCATGAGGGAGCCACCCTCAAGTGCTGTTTGCCTCCCGAAGCTCCCCCTTTGCAAGTCCCATCCCGTTGGGATTGAGGGCTACCCTGTGATCTGGGGGAGGGGCACAAGCTGTCAGTCCATAGCAGGTGCGAGGAGGATGGCCGTGGGGTCCCTGCTTCCCTTGCCTATTCCTATTCCCCAGACACCCTCCACGGGCAGCCACACCTGCCAGCTCCCAGCAGCGCCATCTGCTGGGCTGGATGCACCCTGCCCCTCCAGGCTGCCCCCAGGCCTACACCTAACAGGTGGCAGCAGGGCCTGCCGAACGCCCAGCACAGGTTTCAACACCCTGGGAAACTTGCTTTCTGAAGTAAGTCAACAGCCTCCTGCCATTTTTCCGGTAGTATTCCTCCCCCAGAGAGACTGAAGATCAGCCCTAGGCGACGCCCCGCCAGTCCCCACAAAACTCGAAATTGCTGAAGTCAGAGGCAGTGCAGCGCTGTCATGAAAATTGTGTGTCAGTAAGAGTGCAAATTAACAGTAAATATGGTATTTATGACTAGTCGCAATAATCGCCAAAATGGAACGGCAGTAGGAATGAACAGGCAAGGGAGAAATTGGTTAAAGAAAATCATAGAAATATATCTCTGGGGTGTAGAGAGCCGAAGATGCATCTAAGCACAGATGTAAGAAAGGGAGAAGTGGCCCAGGCTTTCTGTAGACAGCAGTTTGCTCATGAGCTTCTCCTTCTGTTGCCTTCAGCTGTGAAGTCTGCTGCTGGGGGATGGTAGGAGGACTTGGGGGCTGTCGGGAAGAACCCAGTGACTACCTGGAGGAGGTGGGAGATCCGAGTAGCAGGCTGGCGCAGACCCCCGCACGGGACACAGAAACGCCCCTTTCTTCCGGGTGTGCGATGACTGTGCCAGGGCACTTCGGTGAGCCACAGACTTCGTAGCATGCTGAGGTTAAACTCCTCTGCCCTCGTGAAAGTGAGAGGGAACTGGGGAAGGAGCACAAGCATTGTGTATTTTCTGCGAGTCTCTATGAATCAGAGGCCCATCATGGACAGCTTCTGTCGGCCTCCAGAAACAAAGGCCCTAAGGTACTGCGTCTCCAGTGTGAGCCTGACCCCGCAGCAGCTGATTGTGGCTGGGCCGAGCCTCCGTGCGGCTCTGCCGTCGCACAGTGCACAGATCCCGGTACGCGTGAGATCCAGACAGAGGTCCGCTCTGTCCACGGGCAGATGCTTAGTGACCCGTGCACGCCAGAGCCTGTCTGCTCCCACTGGGCGCAGGCTTACCTGGGGCTGGACACAGTGTTCATATCCTGGGCCCGGTCAGCACCAAACCCAAACACCTTCGGGGTCCATAGCTTCCTCCTGGGAGCAATGGTGTCTGATTGATCTGTGCACCCCCAAGGCGCTGGCCCCAAGGGAGCCTTTGGTTGTGTTTTGAAAAAAATCAGTGAATGCTGGGCTGAGTGGGTGGGTGGGCTCTGGGCTCAGTGGGTGGGTGGGCGCTGGGCTGAGTGAGTAGGCTCTGGGCTGAGTGGGTGGGTGCTGGGCTCAGTGGGTGGGTGGGTGCTGGGCTCGGTGGGTGGGCGCTGGGCTGAGTGGGTGGGCGCTGGGCTGAGTGAGTAGGCTCTGGGCTGAGTGGGTGGGTGGGCTCTGGGCTGAGTGAGTGGGTGGGCTCTGGGCTCAGTGGGTGGGTGGGCGCTGGGCTGAGTGAGTAGGCTCTGGGCTGAGTGGGTGGGTGCTGGGCTCAGTGGGTGGGTGGGTGCTGGGCTCGGTGGGTGGGCTCTGGGCTCAGTGGGTGGGCGCTGGGCTGAGTGAGTAGGCGCTGGGCTGAGTGGGTGGGTGGGCTCTGGGCTGAGTGAGTGGGTGCTGGGCTGAGTGAGTGGGTAGGCGCTGGGCTAAGTGAGTGTGTGGGCGCTGGGCTGAGTGAGTGTGTGGGCCAAAGCTAGGAGCCTGGAACTCAGTCCGGGTCCCCCGCATGGTGGCAGTAACCCATCACTTGAGCCTCACTGCTGCCTCCCAGGGCTGCCTTGGCCGGAAGCTGGAATAAGGAGCCAGCAGCGAGCCTCGGCACTCCAGAGTGGGAGTCCTACCCGCTAGACCAGTCCCTCCCCCCAGGACCTCTTTCTGAAAACCAAAATCTGTTACTCCCAGTTTTGCCCAGGGCGCAGCTTGATTCGAGGTCATTTTTATGCACTGACTGAGCGCACATTATGTGCTCAACACCATACCAGCCACTGTGGGGGGAACAGGAACGCAAAAAATTGCAAGACACAGTCCTTAACACGTGGAGGATCCCACACGCTCACGTGAGAATCGAACAACCGGAGGCAAGGCTGGAGCAAGAGCCCAGGAGAGATTGGTCTTAGAGCAGAAAGCCTTCAGGGTGGAGTTTGCTTAATTCCTGGCCCAAGTCTTTCCTGGGCGGTCCCACGCGCTGGGCACTGCAGTGGGGAGCAGGACAGAGAGGATGACTGTTCCCACCCATCATACGGCCGAGACCCCATCAACTGCCGGACGTGGTCATTGCAGGGACTGAGTGTGTGTGTGGGGGGGGG